TAGCAATGGATGGAAGATTCCAACTGTTTGATTGAGCTCAAATATGGACACAAAATATATCATTGCGTTAGCATTCCATTGCAACCAGGTTGAGATCGATCAGACGGTTGGATTAAAAGTTATGCTTATCTTACTGAAGATTGGTATGTCTACTGGTTTAATCCGAAATTTGTTTTTGGTTTTTGTTTCTTTGGTTTGGTTTTGCGTAAATTTGACTCTAGCGTGATTTTTTTTTATCAGAATTTGGGAGTTTTAAAGTTTTGTGATAACAAATCCATATTCAACTTGCGGAGAATATTTCCAAACCCTAATTTTATATGAATTCAATTATGCATTATTTTTCATGTTTTGTGTTTCTAGTTCTATATCTGAGTAATTTATATGTTAGGCTTATGGTCTCGAAGGAATCATGCACTTGTATTTGTGAAATTAATTTATTAGATTAGCGAATTATCTACTTGGTTTTCCTAGGTTGTTCTCAGTGCTGAAATTAGATTCATGATCTAGTTTATGATATTTGACTATCTATCTAAACGAACTTAGAATGTGTAAGATGATCTTGGCCAATGGGAGTTTTGTGAACCTATCAAAATAGATCAGGCCCGCTCCTGAAACAATTAGGGCTGGAAGCAACAACACAATTGGGACCTAATAATTGATAGATTTAATATAGGAAAACAAGAAGAATGTTCAAAAGTTGTGAACGAGGTTCAAAACTTAAACCTCCACCAAACTAATGACCTGGATAATCTGGACCAAGGTATTTTTGAGGATGCATTGAAAAAAGAGAAAATTTGACTTCCCTTTCAATAACAAGAGCTGTAAGATCTTTGCTAATCGAATCTGTTACAGTTGTAGTCACATCTGCATGTGCTTCATCTATTTCCTTCTGATTGGATGATTTAAAAAGGCTCCTGAAATAATTAGTAGCAATGTCTACTAGTACTTCTTCATCCTCAATCATATTACCCAACTCATCCAAATAATTAGTAGCAATGATTCGATTTGCATGTCTTTGCTTTGTCAAAGCATGGGAGAACTTGGAGCTTCTATCTCCTTCTCTCAACCATCGAACTCTACTCTTTTTCTTCCAAAGCATTTCCTCAACCTTACGAGCTTCAGAGAGTTCATGTTGAGGAAATGCCTCGGTTAACTCTTATGTTGGTGGATCGTCGTTTGAGTACATAATCTCCACTTTTACTTTTAGGTCCTTCACTTCCTTTTCAGAATATAAATCATTTTTTTCTCTTTCATTGACTCAAAGCTCTACAAAAACTCGTAATATGTGCTATTATATTTGCATCAGTAAGAAGTTCGGAGGCATTCCATGCTTCCAAGATCACATGTTTGATCTTCTCGCTATCCATCCAGTGCATATAAAATTTAAACTTTTTATTTTCGTTAATTGGTTCAGGATGTTTGTTAGGACCAGAAGATCCGATCCCCATATACGTAAATATTGAACAAAAGATTGTGGAAAATTTCTGTGTCAGTCTTCATTGCCTACCACTCAATCTAGACGACATCTGATAGTTGACCATCCTATTTTTCCTACCCAAGAAATCATATTTCCAGAACATGGATACCCCAATCGCCAAAATCTGCTTGAAATACAAAAAAAAAAAAAACGAGCTATAAGAGCGTCACATGTCACCTTCCTTTTCATTAAGACATGTAATCTCATTAAAATCACCGATCATGAACCATGGTCATTATGACATGTAATCTTATATTTTCTTAGTGGCAAAATGGGTAGGAGGATCTCATACTTGTTCTCGTCTCTATAAAATAAGGTCCCAATAAACAAATGCCATAAAAAAGACTTCATCAATGACTGTCTTAATATCAATCATTCTATTATTTGATAATAAAACATTTATTTTAAAATTATCGATAGAAAGTAAAGGTAAATCTCTGCTTTGGCTAACTAACTCGACGATAAACAAATGATCACATTCTAAGTCAGCATGAATGTTTCGTAACAACAGTTTCCTAGTCATCATCTCAGAAAGGAACATTAGTCTTGCAGGATGCTTCTGAAACATCTTTGTGAGACATCGAATTGTGAAATCGTTCTCTATCTCTTCACAATTCTTAATGAGTGTTTTCATTGATGAAGGTTGGATGGATTTTTGAAATCCATGAAACCTTTCTACTGAGATTAGAGCATAACTTCAATTTTTTCACATTATCCCTGCTATACTTCCACGCTCATCTCTTCCTTGCTCCCCAGCCATTTTTATATGATTATTAAATTTATCTAGTCTGTTTTTTAATACCACAGACACGTCTAAAATAAGTATTTCACATTATAAAGTTATACATTAAAGGAATAAAATAATTTATTTACATTAATTCTCAAAAATCATGTTCATGATAAATAAATGTTTATAAATAAATTTGATTATATTTTCAAAAAAGAAAATTCAAAATTTTTTGTTGATGAATTTTTCTTTTTTGATATTTTTTGAAAAAAATGTTTTGGAAACTTAATTTCTTAAAAAACGTTTATAATGACATTTCCATGAATTTTAATTGTATTCATATATAATAAAACATTTCTGAATAAGTATAATTTATTTCTGAAATTTAGGTATATTCTGATAAATATGTATTATGCTCATAAATTTATAGATAAATTTAATAAATTTCTATTTGAAAAAACTTTCTTAAATGTGTATTTAAGAAGACCTTAATGAACATATATTTATTAATACCTTACTGAATTTTTTCATAAATTTATAGATAATTTAATAAATTTTTATTTGAAAAAACTTTCTTAAATGTGTATTTAAGAAGACCTTAATGAACATATATTTATTAATACCTTACTGAATTTGAATTATATGTATATCTTATAAGATTTTTTATTAAATATGTGTAATATCTTCTTAAAATTTTCAGAAAACTTTTAAAATTTGATATCGAAATTTTATAAAAAATATTTTACATATTTTAATAAATTTAGAAACACATTATATTGAGTAATATTTTCCTGAATATACATATAAGTTTAATTCAAGACGATGTTATATACATTTTGGAAGAACTTCCTAAATATACATACAAATTACATTCAAAAGAAAGCTTACTACACCTTTATGGATTTTTTCTTCAATTTGGGAATTTGTTTTTCCAAATTCAGGATGATAACATACAAGTTCATGAAGTTCGTCCCAAATTTTTTTAAGAACTTTTTTTTCCAAAATAATATTTTGAAAATTTAGTCATGGCTCTGAATTTTTTTCATCTTTAGTCACAGATCGACTTTTTTTCTTGGATTCTTGTTTGTTTTGATGTTCGGATTTCTCTCTAGTCATTCATTTAGGATTTTGGGTCAGTATATTTATTTGTTGGGTACATCTCGCAAACAAAAGTCTACAACGTGTACCTGCTGGGGGAAAACAGAATAGCATATCAAGAGAAAGAGAGCAAAATATGAACATGATTTTGTACCTATTAGGCCGAATGCTATCTCATATAAAGACTGACACCCAATATAACTTTTATGTGGCATATTTGAAAACAATTGTAGGACAAAAAAAATATTTTATATTGATTTTTATGTGACATATTTGAAAACAACTTTAGCAAAACAATTATATTTTTTTTGGTTGAAAAACCACAATATTTTTTTATCAGATAGGATCATAGGCTCATTGTTGTCACAACTGAAGACAAAATACTACGTAAAGAATATCGATTTAGATTTGATAAAGGATGGCAAAGTCGCGATGGGCTCATAGGTTCAATTTTTAGTAGTTGGAATGAAACTTTGATGAATTCGCAGAGTTAAAAAAAAACGAGTTCCCACCATTTGGTGAAAAAGACATCGTAGAAAAATGATGCTCTATCCAGTTTCATCACAAAATGCTACCATATGGCAATGCCCAAAACTTGGAAATTAAAAACAGCACAAGAAAGTGAATTAAGAAAGATGATAAACAAACTCAATACGAGTTCGTCGATGTACCTAGCTACAATGAAATTCAAAGAAGTTTATAAAGACAATGATTATTAAGCCAGAATAAGTTAGAAGGTCAAAACATCGGGTTATCGGTTTTAATATTTGAGGTCCTAATTTTAATAACCTTTGTTCCTCCATCTCCAAGGACCGGATTTTGAAAAGGTGTTGTATTGAGGATACGATTGGCTAAGAACTGTATCACGTACTCAACCCGGATGATCTCAGTTGATGATGATTTATTGTATTATTCAAAGGTTACCACCGGTGTGCGTGGCCCAGGGATCGGTTCTGTTGTGCTCCTAGTTCGGATCTCGGTGGTAGGAGTGGACTAAACTTGTCTTAGTTTAAGGCCAAAAACTGGTTTCGGGTTGAGGGGGGGGGGGGGGGGGATTAAAACCGTAAGTCCCAACTCTTCCTGAGATAACAAAAAAAATTATTTAGAAGATGTCTGTTTAGATGAATTTTATGATATATCCATAAAGATGCCAAGCGTGGATGGCATGACAAAGTTATTTTTCTAAAATGTATGGTAGGTTACTAAAACTGATTTGTTGGCCTTGGTAAACAATTTGTTTTTCATTTGCTAATCCTTTCATCAACTTATCATTATAACATCATTTTTTGCCAACAATTGAAATATACTACAAAAAATAATTCTAGAAATACATTTGTTTCGTGCGGGTCTAAAAATATTTTTCACGATCCATGAAAACAAAGATTCATGAAAAGTTATAAACTGAAAACAATTACAATTAAAAAGTTACCGTGGCTTTTCAACGTTAATTTTTTTCAACGTTAATTATGCAAAACCCAAAGAAAATGGGGTAGGTAAGAACGTTTAGGTTAATTTGAAATTATTTTATTTCGCACGTGAAAGACGAGGGCTGTTCACGGAAATTAGGCCTTGTATGATTAGTATCAATTATCAACAGAGTAAAGTTAAATAATTAAACAAAATATCCGATACCAATTATTACAACCACTATAAGTACGTAGCGTTGCTCTAGGTTGCATGACTCACAAATCAACCATACTAACTTCGTGTTTCTTATAGCAAAGTTTCGCTTCTTTTCATATATTGCAAGAATGTCCGAAACCAATATGGAGTTCTGCAATAGTTACTTTCTGGTCGATCCGACCAAAGCAAGTGTTTTTGATCTTCTCCTCCTTTTGTTTTTACCAAATCTGATCAGTAAAAGATTCATAGACTCTACACCGGATACGCTTAAAAGCGTCCGGAGAAGTTTCGCGAGTCGATGGATCATAGCGTTGGCCGTTTTGGTTCAAAAAATATTAATATTAATCAGAAAACCCATGGGATTCATAGGTAGTTTGCTCACCTATTGGCCCAATCTTCTTTCGGAAAATGGTGGCTTCTTCAAGTTGATACTTCATCTTGTGACAGGTGAGAAATCTAACTGTAACATATTTTAGCCTACTATATATTTTCTGAAAACCTAGCTCACTCTCTTTGTATCATTATTACAATTAAATTCATGAACCTGAAGTTTAGGCTGTTTCCTTCTTTTTCATATGATATAAGTATTCCCAAAAGTCTAATTGACAAGATCACTGCAAAGATCTCAAGGATCATGTATCATATGTTTATATATTATCTCTTCGGACTGTGTTGGACTTGACCAATATATGACACTTATCACACTTCAACAGGATTTGTGATAAAACAAGGATTATCCTACATGCAGGACGCTGTGACACACATATAATAATATGTTATCAATTAATCTATTGATTAAGAGATTCGTATAGTAAAAATAAAACAATTTAATATTTTAAGTTTTGAGAAGATTATAGAATTTTGAAGATAACTTTATATCATCCAATTATTTTGATTCTTGTAATGATGTTAAGCAAGTATATTTACAGAACTAACCTAAAAGTTGGACTTCTTATAGGAAAACTGGTGAAGCCTGAGGAATCGTCGGCTACATATACGTCTTTTATAGGATGCTCAGATCGAAGAATAGAGCTGGACGAGAAAATAAATGTTGGTACGATCGAATACAAGTCGATGTTGTCAATAATGGCATCTAAAATCGCTTATGAAAACAAATCTTTCATCACTTCCGTTGTCAAGAATACTTGGAAGGTTAACTTCATTTTCTTCTTGTAATTAATTTTTTTTTGCTAATTAAATTAAAAATTTCCCCTACATCGTTTAATTATAACCATACACGCATTGACACACACACAGACACATATATATATATATATATATATATATATATATATATATATATATATATATTATTTGTCAAAAAAATTGATTAGCTCCACTTCTTTGAAATACTTTTTGTGATGTAGATCTTTGGGTTTTAGAATGCTAGTAAGCTTATTATTATTCATTGTATTATAATATAAAAATATGCAGTTTTTTTTCTTCTAAATTACTCTTTCACTTTAGTTTAAATGATAAATAATAGCAAAAATTAACTTAGTTGATCTTTTAGTATTTTTGATTTCGTGACTTTACTTCTCACTCTTATGCAGATGGACTTCGTGGGTTTCTATGACTTTTACAACGGTAAGTTTAAGATAGCGCTTTATTCTTTTGAGGAAATGATTTTCCGTTCCCATTTCAGGGCTTAGTGCATTCCCTATTTTTGGAATAAACTAACTCATTTTGGTGTATAAATAAAGCTTCGAAAGGCCAGTTTAAATCATTTAAAAGATACAATACAGAAAACATGCATAAGATAAGCCTGAAGTAAATGTAAGATATAAACGTTTTTAAAAATGTAAGATATACGTCGGACATAAAATATACTCGTAAATGTCGTAATAGTAATAGAAAAAAGGTTTTGACAAAAAAGAAAAGAAAAAAGGTGACGGTCCACCAATGAATATATGATTTTATATATGATATAAAAGCCTTTCAGTTTGTCTCTTTCCATAATATACAAAATATAAAATATTAGGGTCGCTATACCATATCGTATTGAAATAAATGCTAAATTGGTCTCGATACCGTATCGTGTTAAAATAAACTAGATTTTGACCCGCGCAACCGCGCGGGTGTTTGTTTTCGTTTATAGTTATATAAACATTTTGTTTTCACTTGTAAATTGGTATATATTATAGTAATCACATATTTACGATATGTATAATAAATGTTTTTCAAACATAATAATATTATATAATAAGTGTTTTAATCAAATAGATTGTTTCAAATTTTCTATATTATACATGACTTTCAAACATGTGTTTGTTTCTTCTTCTATATTTTATTGTTTGTTAGATTAGTATTTCATTTTTAGATAAAGTAATATAAATAGAGCTTGATTAAATATTAGTGTAATTTAATTTGCAAAGATAATATAAACTTCGAAGAATGTTTTTGCTAAAAACTAAACTTATAGCTTCATAAATTAATATTATAAAAAGTTTATTAAAAAGGAACTTTTTAAACAATTTCTTTTTTTTAAACAATACAATTTTAAAATTTTACATCGAAATAAATTTATCTAATATATATAAGGTATAAATTTTGTTAAGGTATATAAATATTACATATTAATAATCTGTGATTTTTGTTAATATATTCTGGATGCATTTAACTATTATTGACATATTTCCTTATAAATAATAGAAGATTCCTAAATTTATATCTACTGACATATTTTACGTGACTAAGTTGGAAGGTGTGGGGTAATTTACCAAAACAAAATTGTTAAGCATATTATAAAATAAAATAATGATAATATTATTAGAGAGTTAATGTAACATAACTTTCTAGTAACAGTCCATTTTTTAGAAATCACACATGAAATCAAGTCATGACTTCTGTTTTAATATATAAGATGCCAACTAAGCTAGGGGCCCTAATATGTCGTCTGATCTATAGTATGGACAAATCTCTCAAATAGATTTTTTAAAATTTTTATCATAAAAAATAAATTATAAAAATTAAAATAATTAAAATAATATTTTCTATTTTGAAAACTTTAAGTTTTTTCTATTTTCTAAAATTTGAAAACCTACCCCAAAAATCCAACTCCTCAACTTTAAACAAAAATGTATAGGATTAGTTAATCCAAAAGGTATAAATGTATATTTACACATTTTTACTAACATATTTAAGTTTATTTTGGTCATTTTTATTGTTAAGATCTATATTTGTGATAAAAAAAATTTTAGGTATATCCTAAAAAATTTCTCAATTGTATTTATATTTTAATTTATAACTGTAGTAAAACAATAATTTTTTTTATCACGCTCTATGATTTTTTGTGTTTTATAATTAAATACTAGATTTGGATCCGGTTTATAAAATATTGAATTTTTGTTTGACAACAATAAAAACGAAACTATGATATATGCTTTACTAAATCAGAGAATCAAGCTGGTAGCAATGCGCGGAATTAGTTTTGGTTAATTATGTTTTCTGAAATTTTTACATAATTAACCTATTTGGAAAAAATCTACATAATTTCTATTAAAATATATAAATTATTTATTTTAACTGTTTTGTTAAATGGGTTAAATGTTTTGGTTTTAGATGATTTCATTTTTATTACAGCTATCAGTGTTTAGTTTTTCAATTTTATATATGTGAATAAAAAAATAAAATGTTATTTTAAGATGTAAGAATATATTTCCTCGTTTAAGCTTAGAATAATAATTTTTTACGAAATCTCAAATTATATTTATATTTATATTATGTTATAATCAATATTATAATATGTGTATAGATTTAAACTATAATATTTTTAATTGAAATAAAATAATCTATGTATGTTTCATATATATGAATTAATTAATTTTAATTATTTTACACAGTTACATATGTTCATATAAATATAATTATATAAAAAATAAAAGAGGTTAGTACAATTAACTAAACCGTCATTGTAGCTTGCTTTGCATTTATCAAACTTTTTTAATATCTTACTAGACGTGCAAATATTTTTGCAATTCTATTACAAAATTTAAATTAACTGTATTTGATTTTATTATTAAAATTTAATTATATATCATGTAACTAAAATATGGGTGAAAATTTATTTTCTTGTTACAATGGTTTTAAACCCACCTTCATCACTATATATATTTTGCATAGTCTATTTAAAGTTGACAAAAAAGTCTATTTAAAAAAAACTTCTTATGTTCTACTATTCTTATTCTCTTATAACAACATTTTCTGTTTCGAAGAAAATATGGGATCTAGAAAAATTATGTATGTATTTAGATTCAAAAACTTATATAGATCTGTTTACAATATATATATATATATATATACTAAGATTATGTAAAGCAAACATATATTTTCAAATATAATTATTATTTAAATATATAAATATTTACCAAATTATAGTTGAGATCACAGTCATAAAATCTACCTATGAGGATGTAAGGGATAACATCCTTTCTAATTTCCTCTAAATATTTTTAGTTGATTAAGTTAAATATTTTTTTACAGCCAAGTGTATTTATATAATTTAAATTGATATTAGTATATACATGAGTTGTTTGTTACGTAAATGTGATTCTATTTTCGAAATACATTGTGGGTTGGTTTGTGATAACCAACTAATTTGATAGAAATGGTATGGGTAGACTTCGATAGAATTGATTAAACATATTTATGATAAGTTACATGTATAAATAAATATGTTATATCATGAAATTTGAATTCCAAAATTAAAATACAACACATGAAAACCAAAATATGATTATAATTTAAGAAGTTAGATAAATTTTAATACTTTTATTTTTATTTGAAAGGAAAGATAATATTTAAAATAAATTTAATAAAATTATTTTAAAATAAGTAATTTCAAGAAATAATTAATTTAAATTATCAGTAAAATATAATTGAAATATCTTATTCTCTTATAACAACATTTTCTATTTTCATGTAATCCGGCCGCTTTTCGAACAGGGGTAGAAACTACTACTAACTAGCTGGATGTTTTCGATAATATTTTACGATATATTTAAATTTTATTAAAAGTTATATTAGTTTCGTAATTCAGTAAAGTTATATTTTAAGTAAATTTACGGGTAGAAAGACACGTTACAATATTAATGTCAGTTAGGTAGATATATGCTAATTTCCAACTATAATTCATTATGTTGGTTTTTTTTTGGTCAACTTGGTTTCATTGTTTATTTAACCATATATTCACTATTTTGAAGACAACTTATGTATGTAATAAGAATAAACACCAGCGAGCCCACAACCACAAAAGTCACGTTTTTTGTCTGGGGTTAGCAGCCTTGGTTCTTAAAATCAAATGCCTCATGATAGTAGATCAGTGGGGGTTGTTTGTAAAATAACTAAAAAGGGATAGTTAGATTTTTAACAAGAGGTTAGAGAGAGATAAGAATATAAATGGAAGAAGAAATGAGTGTTTTTGGTTAATAGTGAACATATGTTTTTAATGTATATATGATGCAATTTTTCTTTTTTCGTAGATCGATTTATAAATAAAGGAAAATATCAGTTTTATGTCAAAACATTAAAATTTGGATTGAATATAACATTTAGTTTCAAAAAAAAATTATTGAGCAGAGTCTTGATAGTTTGGCTTAACATATTTTAAAAACAAATATACTTAACAGATCGCGACAAACGAAGTCATAAAACAATTTTTTTTTATTTGCGATAAACGACAAAGTTTTATTTTTATAAACGACAAAGTTATATATAACCAGAGAAAATATATACTGTATTAAACATCAATCCACAAATATTTTTTGATCTCAAGAACTCCTGTTCATAACAACTATAATAAGAATTCTATTCCTCTAAAACGATATTTCTTACAACGTATGCCCTTTAAAAATAAAATTTCTTATAACGTCAAATTTGCTTTAAATATAAAATATATATTAGAACCTTAAAATATATATATAGTGCTAGTTATATTTGTTTTTTGTTTCTAAAAAACCACAAATCTAATTAACATCTGAAAAGATATCGCTAAATTCTTTTTTTTTTTGTAGCTTACCAAGAAAGAAACCTGACACAAGCCTTCGTATTCAAGGCGTCGAGCACAAACCCGAATCTCATCGTCGTCAGTTTCAGAGGAACCGAACCTTTCGATGCAGATGATTGGTGCACCGATCTCGACGTCTCTTGGTACGTATAATATATAAATTATATAGTATTATAAAATCAATACAGTATAAAACTATTTCTAATATATTTATCATCTATAATAATTTTACACTAGGTACGAAATGAAGAACGTAGGAAAAATTCATGCTGGGTTCTCCAGAGCACTAGGCCTACAGAAAAACGGATGGCCGAAAGAAAATATAAGTCTCATACACCAATATGCTTACTATACTATCAGACAAAAACTTAGGGACATGCTTGCCATAAACAAAAACCTTAAATTTATCCTGACGGGTCACAGCCTTGGTGGCGCAATAGCTGCTCTGTTTCCAGCGATTCTTGCGGTTCACGGTGAGGATGAGCTACTTGATAAGCTAGAGGGGGTCTACACGTTTGGACAGCCACGTATTGGGGACGAGCAATTTGGGGAGTATATGAAGGAAGTGGTAAGAAAGCATGGAATTGAGTATGAGAGGTTTGTTTACAACAATGATATGGTTCCTAGAGTCCCCTTCGATGACAAGATTTTATTCTCATACAAGCACTATGGATCTTGCAATTACTTCAACAGTCTCTACAAAGGAAAGGTAACAGCGTTTATTCATTTTTGTTTTGTTTTTTCTTGATTAACTATTTGATATGTAAAACCAAAATGAAAGATAGAACCAACAAAAAAGGAAAACCAAGGTGTAATAGAAGTTTATACACATACATGGAACTCAAAGTAGATTTAGGACTTTTAAGTCCTCACTTTCTAAAAAGTCAAACACGTGAGTTTTAAACTTTATTAACATCTAATATGAAATCAAATCATTATCAAATCCATGAATAGTAACAGCTGTCAATAACTGTTAAAAGTTATCAAACAAATAGCTGACAAAAATAATATTAACATGACTTTTGTATTTATTTTTCACATACTTGTGGATTTTAAGGTAAGGAAAGATGCACCGAATGCAAACTACATCAACTTGTTGTGGTTAATACCGACGATTTTAATTGGTGCCTGGGAGTTTATAAGGAGTTTCATAATACAGTTTTGGAAAGGCAAAGAGTACAAAGAGAATTGGATGATGAGATCTGTTAGGATTGTGGGAATAGTACTCCCTGGTATGTCTAATCATTTCCCATGTGATTATGTCAACTCCACGCGGTTGGGAGGCTTGGCTCGCCCATCTATTACTAGTCATGAAGATAAAATTGCACTCATTGCTTAAAATTTAAACTACACTGAATATCTACTATGTCTGCTCTTGTTGGATTCGACTCTCATTGTACTTTTATGTATGTTTATGTTCCGCTTTCTATCTTTTATATGTTGGCAAGATTCTGAGCTTATTAATAAGAATGTGTTTAATAAGATTTATTTGTTTGAATATATTGTATTTTATGTTAGTTAACTTAGATTTGTTTTTTTTACCAAAAAAACTTAGATTTATTTTGAATCAATTTGCTATTGCTAAAAACAAATAAATCGATTTGCTATGAAACATATGGGTGATATTTAACTTTACTTATTTAGCTTTTAATTTATTGTAACTTTGAACTTATAATCCATGATTGTCAATTTATCTTTGATCAACTTATATTGTTGTTGGGTTATGACTAAATTTTGGCCCTATGAATAATTGTTTTTTTTAAAATAAAAACACCAATATTATGATATACTAAATTAAGGTCTGAACACTGAACCTTGCACACGGTACGAAGCAGGTATACCATTTAAACTAACTGAGCCTTTATGAATTCGACCTCTAAACGGTTTTTAACCAGACCGGCCCTCAAACTAATGCTTTATCAGTTTCTATTGAGACATGGCCGTGGTTCTGACTACTGAGTAAACACCTGTGTTTCAAAAAAACATAATAAACTCATTAGACTGTTAAATTATTAATTATTATATAATAAATGCATATAAATTTGAATGATTTCTTTTCCAGTGAAGTTTATTAAGTAAGTAATGCATCATTACGAATTTTAATATTTTATAACTTCTTCCACATTTTGAATATTTTATTATTTAGATTAAATATAATACAACAATATCTAATAATCTACATATTTTAAAAATAAAAGATGTATTTTTAACCCAATTTAATTTAAATATCAACTTTCCAAAAAAAACTTATAACAAATTTAATAAATGCATCTTCCCAATAAAAGATGTATTTTAAAATTATAAGTCAGGTAATTCATAAAGTAATAAAAACATTAAATTTTTAAAATTCAAATTGATAGCTGATGAATCTTGTGGTTATGATCATGATCACCTAAATTCTTGTCTTCTATAAATGCATCTTTATCTTCCAACTAACATCTAGTATATATATGACAGCTTTTATCGTAAAGTCTTTTTATAACCTTTATCGCAAAGTTATTGGATTCGACTCTCATTGTACTTCTATGTTTATGTTCAGCTTTCTACCATTTATATGTTGGACACATTCTGAAATTACTAATAAGAATGGTTTTAATAATATTTATCTGTTTGAATATAGTGTATTTTATCTTGGTTAACACAGATTTATTATAAAAAAAAATTTGTTATCGAAAAGTTGAATTATAGAATGAATATATAAAAGTGAAGATGTATATAGACCAAAATATTTATAAATAATATTGGTTGGACTATAGCGGTTGCGCTTACAAATGCAGTTGCGGGAATTTGTGGATGTGGACGGCTGTGATTTCAAAAGTTATTAAATGATTTGTACAATTGGTACAACAATTAGAAAATTGTGCATTAGCATGATATTTATAACTGGATAGTTATGGAATGATGCAACAGTTAAGGAAATCGACTCTATAAAAGGTTTCTATATCCATGTCTGGGGTTCAAACACCAGACTATGCAATTTCTAGCTTTCAATTCTTGGAAAAGACGAATTATGTAGAAAATTGGAGAAAAAACTTACAAGAGATTTTAGCATGGCGCAAGGAGTACTGTCAGGAATGGATCTCATAGGGCAACTCAGAATGATGCAGTTAGACGTGAATCTGCAGAAGGCAGATAGAATTATCGGCTGTAATATCATCTATGTAATGTTTCTCATAATTTGTAATAGCATAATTACCCAGACAAAAAAAAAGTTCTCTCTTAAACACTGCAACCGCGCCGGTTGACGAGAAAAGCATCGTGAAGAAGAAACGTCAAAAATCCAATGGCTCCTTCATTCCCCTTTGTTAGTTGGAAGAACCAAAGGATAGTCTATGCATATGGAACTGTCCCAAACCTCTCAGACTACATAACTTCTGTCTAATATAGTAGATATGCTCAACCTTATCACCTCGGGCTCCATGCCTAATGCAGTTTCATGGGTTTATTCTCCTGTGAAGGAAAAGAGAACAATACTCTCTTAAAATTTAGGTTACTAACGTAGCTTACTCTGATTACCTTGCTCATGAGCCAACAACTCCGGTTAAATAGGTCACTTAGTCAAAATCGAGTGAGGATGTACGCATATTAATGATCTAATATCACTCAAATTACACTTTGAGAAAATTTACTCTCTCAAATAAGAGATGCAATTGCAGTACTAAGAGATCGAATCCACAGAGAGCGTGGACACAGAATAGACTTTTGATATTAAGATTAAGCTACGCATTAAATATAAAAGCAGTAAAGCAGTAAACAAGTGGTTTATTGGATGTCAGAATAACATATAAAAGCTAGACTTAGGGATCTATCAACTAAGAGATTCAAAACTACAATTCATGATGCTAATGGTTTTATAGATTCAATTCTAGAACTGGAATTTAATAGCAAGTAATCCATCTTTGCATGAAATTACTAATCATATGTATGAATCCTATGTTTCAGATGTCGCGTGCGAACAAGGAGCGAGCGTCGATCAATGGTATATCTTTACCGTCGATCGATGCTACTCCAGACAAGCATTAACTCTCAATCGATAATGTTCAACTAAATACTAGACCAACTATCGTATATGCCTAGGTATCAAATATAGTAGGGTTCGGGTTCCGTTAATCGATGGCACTTCCGTGCCTCTCAATTGTCCTATGATTCTAGGTTCAAACAATCAGCCACACTGTCGTGGTATTCTAACTATTCTAGATCATAGTATTACAAGCTACCCTGGTGTGGAATTAAATAAGCTACCCTGGTGTAGAATTCAATAAGCAACCCTAGAAATCCTAACAAATTATCAATTTGACATTAATCTTATGAAATCTCTAAATCCAATAGGATGATTACTCGGACATGATAGAAGAAATCCAAAACATAGTCTGAATAAATAATAGAATATAAATCAATGGTAAAACCAGTGGAGTTCCAATCAATCTCTGAAGTAGAATTGATCTTCTCTCCAACCCTAAACAATGTATACTAGAAAGCGTAGCCATCAACAATGGCTTAGAAACACACAAAAAGGGATTAAAAGTCATGCTGGGGCATTCTGGTAATAATTGGTGGCTTATGGATCCAAGTCGGTCATGAAATAAGCTCGGTCTGTATTCTGGGATCACCGTCGATTGACAACAAGGTTGTGCCGTCAATTGGCGCTCCTTCTTATCTTCGACAGTTTTGTCTCGCAAGGCAGATGTACCGTTCTTCAGTAAAACATGCATAACTTTAGTTCTAACCGCCACTTGAACCTCAAACCGGTGGGATTGGAAAGATAACTCAAAGCTATATCTTTTTTCAAAATATGGGCTCAATCGCTCAGTGGAAATGTTTTCATACATAGCTAAACATATGACGCGTTTGTGCAGTTTTGCACCTCAAAAATCACCAAAATTCTCTAAAACATACCTGAACCTGAAAACGCTCTAAATATACTCCAAACCCATGTTATATACTCAACAGAGCACTTATACAATGAGTGAAAATAGGTAAAATCCATTGTATATCACTTTCCCGTAAAGTTTTCATCTCAGGTTTTGTATAATGCTCAATCTATCTCTCCTCATCTATACTTGCTTCATCATGGCTGCAGGAAATGGGTACACCCACTCAACATGTCTCTAGTGTGTCTTTTGTGCTATTACTGGAGGAGAACATCCAAGCATATTAGGCTGAATTCAAGGAGTTTGCTTTGCCTGCTTTCATGGTGATTGCCCTAGAAAAGATCATTAGTATGGTTAATGCCATATATACTCGTATTGGCCCTCAGATTTTTGTACAGTTGAAACGTTTTTTTGTAGAAAGTTACATATGATCGGGAAATGGATCTTCTCTTGAGTATGAATGTACAGAACATTGCCAGTTCTTATATTTCCATAGAGTTTTAGTCACTCAAGTATGACCCGCAGGAGATAATACAACTTTGGATAAGCATTTACTCCTTCAATCATTTGAAGGGGTGGAACGAAAGTGTAACGCCCCGAACGTCCACGGCTAATGAGCCACCCACCCCCGCTCTCTCGGCCCGTGGGCCCCATCTCGTTCTAATAGTTGGTCCATTAATTTTTCTAAGGCCGAAAGTCTTATTTACTGACCCTGCAATCGCCACCCGATCTTTTCCCATGTTTTGGCCTCACTCGCACGGTGTCGCGAATCACATCCTGATAGGTCACCCATCCTTTCACTACTCCAGCCCAAGCACGATTAACTCTAGAGTTCTAAACGGATGTGTGACGGAAAAGGTAAGTCGACTTTGGTGACATAGGTAGTCAAATCAATTTTCTTAAGCCTTTATGTATTTCACAACTCAGGACGTTACAATTCACCCTCTCTCAAAGAACGCAACACCCTCGTTGTGCCCCACGACAAGTCTCAAGACGGATTTTTTATTTATTTATAACTATGGATTTTTTTATTTGTGTTGGATTCAAGTCAACGAGTGCACCTTGCTCTTGAAGTTCACGAGTTGGAGATACCTTTATTTTTGATGAATGATATTCCATTGTTAAACAGAGAAGCCTAATCCGAGGAAAACTTGGTTTACATCCATAAATACACAATAATGATAAACCAAGAAGTAGTTAAACTTTTTTACAACTCTTTCTCTAACCAATGCTTTGGTCCTCCTTATCTACCACGAGTTGCAACAAAGATCTAAGTGCTTATTCTTTGATATATCCGAAACAAGTAAATCTTCAGCATGGTCGATGAATCCTTCTTGGGACGAAGATGACTTGTCTCAACCACTCTTTACTTGGGATCGTCCCATGTTGTCTTTAGCTTTCCCATATATTTCCTTAGGCATATTTGGTCGATGAAAGTGTTCCATCTGGTCCATGCCATACTCCAGTTCATCTTATTCAATTTCAAGATCATTTCTCGACCCACCCGAATCGACAGGCTCATTTCGCAACCAAGCCATGAAGTCCAGTTTATTTTCTTCATTTCTGAGCAATCTTGCTCGTCCGGGCCGCATCCTGGTGCTCTTTCCTTGCCGAAAATGG